TATAATAAATAATACTTCTAGAGGGGAAAAACTCACATGAAGTTAGCTAAAATTGTTAGATATTTTCCATTAATTCCAAGACTTTAAAGATTTTTTAAAACAAAGAAATCGGCTGAAGAGTTGATTTGGCATGCTAAACATAGAAATGTAGATGGATTGCTACGACATCCAGCTGATGGAGAACCATGGAAAGCTTTTGACTCTTAATACCCTGACTTTGCTTTGGACCCATGTAATATTCATTTTGGTTTGGCTAGTGATGGGTTTAATCCATTCAATATTATGAGTAGTACATATATTATTTGGCCTATACTTCTAGTTCGATATAATATATCACCTTGGGTTGGGATGAAACATGATTCTTTTATCCTATCAACTATAATACTTAGGGAGAGAAGTCCAGAAAATGCTATTGATATTTACCTTCAACCTTTGATTCAAGAGTTATGTGAATTATGGCATGGAGTTCAATATTATGATGCAGCAAGTGGACAAACTTTCAGTATGCGAGCTGTATTACTATGGACAATTAATGATTTTCCAGCATACAGTATGTTGTCTGGGTGGAGCACGAAAGGAAGATTTTCTTATCCTTGTGTGTGCAAAATACATAATCGTTGTGGTTATACAAAGGCAAGAAATTCTCTTACATGGGTCATCGTCGTTGGCTTCCAGATAATCATATTTTATGTCGAAAAATAAAATACTTTGGTAACACTGAGGAAGTTCGAAGAGAACCTAGAAGGAGAATTGGCACAGAAGTTCTGTCATAATTACATAATATAGAATTTCCAATTGCATCCTTAAGTAAAGCTGGTCAAAAAATAGGACTTGTTGTACAGTGAATTGAAGGCTGGAAGAAAAAATCTTTTTTTTTTACCTACCTTATTGGGAGTATAACTTACGGCCACATAACTTGGATGTTATGTATATTGAGAAGAACATTTGTGATAATTTTATTGGAACTTTAATTGATTTGAAAAAATCAAGGGATAACTTACAAGCAAGACAAGATTTTGTTGATATTGGAATTAAAAATGAATTGCATCCACATACTCTAAAAGTTGGTAGTTATTCATTGCCACGAGCTCCTTTCATAATGTCAAAGAAAGACAAAGTGATGTTCTGTGAAGTTTTGAAGAATTCAAAATTCCCTAAAGGCTATGCATCAAACATATCAAGATGTGTCAATGTTACTGATTGTAAAATTATGGGCTTAAAAAGTCTTGAGTGTCATATTCTAATAGAAGACATTCTACCCATTGTGCTTCAGTCATGTGCACCTTTAGATGAAGTTATGTGCATTGTGGTGGAGATATCACATTTCCTAAAAGTAATTTGTGCAAAGGTTGTTATGACTTTATGTAAGATGGAAAAAACATTCCTTCCATCATTCTTCACGATCATGATTCATCTTCTTGTACACTTAGCGAAGGAAGTTAAATTAGGTGGTCTTGTTCAATACCGCTGGATGTACCCATTTGAAAGGTAACATATAACATATTATCTCTATTTACTCACATATATGATAAATATTTTTAGAGTTTATATCATTTGCAGATTCATCTCGATATTAAAGAATTATGTTGGAAATAAAGCACAACCTGAGGGCTCCATTGTAGAGGGATTTATTGCTGAGAAAGGTATTTCATTTTGTTCCAAATATTTGGAGGTATAGCCAAAATATTAGAACAAATGAATTATCACTTTAAAAGGAAGATGTGTTTATGTTCTCCAGTGGTGGTATTTCATTGGGGAAGGTCTCTTCACTTGTACTAGATGAGAAAATCATTAACCCAAGCACATAGATATGTGCTATGTCATTGTGATAGTCTTATACCATTAAGAAAACATTTCAAAGATTGTGAGAAAAGAAAGAGGCGCGCGCACACACATCTTAAAACTTGGGATGTCGATAAACTTATTAACGAAAAATTTAATGAATGGTTGAGAATAATAGTAAGCTTTAAGCTTGATGTTTTTATTTAATATTTAATATTTACACTTGTGTAAAGGCTAATATTTTTTTGTAGGTTATGGGTGATGGTGGTCCAGAAGTAACAGAAGAAATTAAGGTCCTGGCCAAGGGGCCCAATAAAATTGCACGTACATATAAAGTTTTTTTTATTAATGGATATACCTTTCATATAAAAACCTGAGATGAGAATAAGAAAACTCAGAATTATGGTGTTGTTAATAGCACAGAAATTGGAAATTTCAATTATTATGGGAAAATTAATGATATTATTGAGATAAATTATTCAGATAAGTTCAAAGTGATGTTATTCAAATGCGATTGAGCGAACACAATTGGCACCGGTGTAAAGCAAGATCAGTTTGGTTACACTTTGGTGAATTTTTCACGTCTTATTCACACTAGTGATAAATTAGAAGATGATCCATTTGTTTTCTCTTCGCAAGTTGAACCAGTCTACTACATTCATGATCCTAAAAATACAAACTGGAATTTTGTTGTTCGTATGAGGTCTAGAGATGTATATGATTCAAGTATTTCTCGTAGTAAATAAATGTAAATTGGGATACTTAAATGTTTTCTAATATTTCATGCTTTGTTATATGCAATTCTACATCCAAATGTTTTCTAGTATTTCTCTTACTAGCAAAATCATACACTGAGACAATGGCATATGCATAGAAGATCATGAGCTGCAAGTATAATGTGACCATCTAAATGAATGTGTGATGGTGATTTATTAATTATTGCATGTTACACCGGGCATATATGGATGGACATTGTAAACTATTTAAACTTAATATTTAAACAATATCCGCATATTTAATCCATGAATATATTATTTGCCACACTCCTGTAGTATCATTATGTTATTTAAGATGTTTTGGATTATATGGGATGGCATGCATATTTAATCCATGAATATATGATTTGCCACACTTCTCGCTATGGATGGCAAATTTTCTATCTATTTTAGAATATTTTCCTACATGACAACATGAAGTAGTTTTCTCCATCTACTCATTGTATACAGCAAGTTTGCTTCTAGTCTTTAATCTTTCCTTTGCTGGACAACAACTTATTGGATGATTTCCTTCTCTATTTTTTTGTTCACAGCAATCTGATTTTATTATTTCCTTGAAGTAGCACATAGGGTCCCTTGAAAAAACAGAGGCACTAATCATTACAAGCAGTAACAAAACAAGTGGAATTAGTAGCTTTGGTAAAGTGTCGATTACTATAGCTACAGCCAATAGAAAGGTAATATACATTTTTTGTTGCAGTAAAAAGTTGATGCTACGGATTGCTAAGAAGAGATTTCTGATTAAATTTATTAATAAGACATTCATAAAGGACAAAAAAAAGTTTTGGGAAGAGATTTTTAAATAAATTTATTAAGGAATAAAAGTATAGAATCTCGTTAATGAGGCAACTAATTTGCATGGATGCAGGTTGCTCTTCAGTTACTGGTAAATCATCTTATCAGTATGTTCTAACTAAACATTGTTTCTATATTTTTGTTATGCTTCAAATCGAATGCTTTGGCTCTTTTGTGAGTTTTGATATTATACTACATTTTCAGGAAATGACAGGAAGAAATACATACAGGCGAGCTAAGAAGGTTGTTTCAAGAGGCGGGTCTAGTAGAGGATCTGAAACCCCTTCTACTCCAATTCACCCAGATTCTACTTGTGACCAAAGTCAAGAGGAGAATGAGTTCAACGGCACTCAACAATCACCACGTCATTCTACTTGTGAGCAGATTCAGACTCCAAATTATGGGATATTGCTCATAGGTTTGATTTTAATCTTTTCTATGAATAAGTACAAGTAACAGTGTAATTATTCTTATGAAATGTGTTATGCACAAATGAGCAAGGTGTACATGTACGTCATAGGGGGCGCACCACATGCATTGACGTACAAAACATGCCGCCAGGTACACGTGTTCATATAGAGGTGAATGAGAATAATGTGCCAAGCAATATTTCAGTGTCCGTCCTATTAGGATCATATCTAGGTGTCATTGCTAGAGATCCTGTACTGGCACCCTTATCCTTTCCAGATTGGAGAAATAAGGATCTGAAGCCCTTTTAGAAAAAAATGTTAGCTGAAGTGGAGGTAAGTAAAATATTAAATAAATTTTCAATATTAAGGTTTATGCTGTGATTAAGAAAATATTTGTTTATATTGCAGTCAAAGTTTGCATTTACTGGATATATACGTCACTGAATTCTTCAATCCCTTGGAGTTAAGTGGCGAAACCATAAGACTAATTTAAAAGCTAAGCATTGGGATAGCCGTCCTATTGAGGAAATTATGGAGTCTATTCCAGTTGGTGTTGATGCAACATAGTGGTGTCATCTAGTCGCCCAGTGGTCACAATCGAAAGACAAGGTTAGTACCATCATTATATTTAATTAAAATTTTCATAACAAATCAACATAGAGTTAGATTCATATGTAACAGGAGAGGGCTGCCACAAATGCTGCAAATGCAAAGAAATAGACTTGTCCTCACACTATGGGGCGTGTGAGTTCTGTTCGAAGGCAACAAGAGATGGTATATATTTAAATTTATATAAATTTTATGTTCAAATTTATTAACTAATTGCCTAATGATGAAATTTGTTGATATAGGCTATCAAGGATAGATTATTATTATGGAGAGTTAACAATAGATTGCGTAAAGATGGCACCTGGTCAACTGAAGATGCTAAACAGAGATGGGTAATTTTAGTCTAGATATAATTTTTTTATACGTAATTCATTATTATTTTTTGTTTATTTAAAAAAAAATAACTAAATTTATTATAACATAGATACAAGCTTGCGAGCTTTTGGCTAAGGATGGACTTACACCAGAGGATGGGAATGTGGAGGCTAACGAAAGGGTGTTCAGTATAGTAATGGGACCTGAACACCCAGGCAGAGTTAGAAACCAAGGTTTTGGTGTCACGCCTACACGATATTTCCTTCATAACACAAATGATGGCATGAGTAGTTGTGGAAGCAATTTAAGTCAAATAGTAAAACTCAAAGAGGAGGTCAACTCATTACGTACTGAAACGAGGCAATTCATGTAAGAAATTTGAATGCAGCATCCACCTCAAGGAAGCTCACAAATGGTATGTAAAATTTCACATTCTAATTTCAATGTTGGTTATTTGAATACTAATACTTTACAATCTTCTTATAATTTATAGGGTGACAATGAAACTTCTTCCGAAAGATGATGTCATAGAAGAAAGAGAATATCGTTTTGAAGATAACCCATGTTTGTGCAAATTATTTTGAAGTGCATCTTGGTATGGAAGTCTACTGTTTTGGGATGTTGTTTAAAATTACGATATTGTAGATTACCATATATGAATGATGAATGTTCTACTCTTTTTGGGATTATTAGGTTTTACCATATATTAATGATGATTTTTTGCTGTTTGGTTCAGGTGTTAAACTTTATAAATTTTGAATTTTCCAAGTTGCTTTCTTTTTTTAAAAGAACAACAAAATTTAATAAGTTATTATTCATTAGCATAGCATTATGGTTAAGGGATGGATGCAAGTGATCATTAATATGCATGTCATCCAAATAAATGAGTTGGTGGATGACTGTATGTGAGTATTGCCGTTGGTTTTTGGGAGCAAGTTTAATGGTGTGATTCTGAAGCGGCTTTTTATGAGCAAGATTAATAAGCCTCCCCTCTCTCAGGAAGCTTATCCACCTCATGAAGGGAAAAGTGAATAATATTGCTGTGTCGGCTGAGAGGGAGGTGACCTGCAATAGAGGAGAAACTGAGGCTTGAGAGAGCTTACGAACAGGAGCAAAATGATGGATAGAGGCGTAAAAAATAGGAGAATGAGATAGAGACTTGGGTTTTATTATGTTTGATTTTATTATTTAATAGGATAAGGCGGTTGAGAACATGTATCAGGATAGGTATGCAGAATGACCTGGGCGACAAATAAAATCCATCTGTATGAAAGAAATGAAAGCACACATTTTTTATTATTATTATAATTATCCATCAACCAGACATAGGCGGTGCAAAGCTCCCTTGTGTTGATTAAAGACACATAAGAATATGAAAAGTTGGAGGTGGCAGGAAAACATGAGGTGTTATCATATATATGGATATAGTACATGCAGGATAACGTGGAGTTATAGATGTATAGCAAGGTATATTAAAAGAAGAACTATCTGAAAGTATGATTTGGGAGATTGATGTTTGGAGATTTTGGTTTTGTTTCTGTCCAGATTGAGCGTGCTTCAGATTCATCTCCCCTGCTTCTTCATGGTTCATTCTTACTCTAGCAGGATCCTTGGCTGCTTGTTTTCTCGGTATCCTGTACTCCTGCTGCCTTTGGTCTTTCAGTTGGTTAGTGAACTTTTGGTTGGGTTCCTCTTTGTGATGGGTTTTTTCCTTTCTTTGAGTTTTGCTGTTTTTCTGTTTGAGCTGAGCCCTTTTTTGGATTTATTTTGTGTTTGCCTCTCTTTTGTTTGAGGCAGTTTTGACTTTCAAAATGTAACTTTTTTCTCTGATTTACATATACGGGCTATGCAATATTGTGAATGCAATTTGGATATGTGATTCTTTTTTAGTTTAGTATAAATGTTGATTGACAAGAATATAACCAAAGGTTGCATTATGATAATTTTATTTTAATGTATTAGATTTTGACTTATTATTATTGTTATGTGTAGTAATTTTTTTTCCCATCATACTCATGATTACGAAGGCTAAATGTTACTGATGTTGCTGATGATTGTAGAAAAAATAAGGATCGTTGCAAATAAATTTTGTGTTGCAGTGTGTAAACATTTAAGTTTCAAAATTTAAAAAAAAAATGTGTTCATTTGTGGCGGTTTTAACCGGTACCATACACCAGAATTGTACCGGTTAAAACCGCTACAATAGTAAAAACATGTTCATATATGACTAATTTGCATCGGTTTTAACCGATACAAAACTGGTTCTTTGTACCGGTTACAACCGCTGCAAATGTAAGCGGTTCGCACCTGCTACCCCGCCGGTTGTAAAACCGCTGTCGAATGACGTTGCAGCACATAGTAATTATAGCGTATTTGTGGCGGTCTAGAAACAGCTGTGAAGAAAATAGTAGCGGTTAAAACCGCCGCAATAGCTCAAAATTTGTGCTGCGATTACCTTAATTTTTGGTAGTGACTAATCGATTATAATCCATGATAAAAAAAAAAAATCAACACTAATTAACTCCAAAAGATGTAGATAAAAACATTATTTCAGATTTTAAATCATCACTGTTTAAAGCAAGCTTCTATTTAAAACTTTCAAACTAAAGTCTATATCATAAACCATGAAAAAACCAACGCACATGCAACCTTCTTGCTTGGAAATATCGAGAACCAACATGCTATTCCTCCTTGCTACCTTTTCTTGCAACTTTTCTCTTCAAATGAAATGAAGACCAGCAGCTCACAGCCATTGTGGAACCAAAAAAAAAAATCCCTTTATCTTATGTTCTAAAATTACTATTTTTGCACATAAACAGTTCTAAATTTCTTAATTAATAATCATCCAATATGCCTAACTATGTTATAGAAGTTTATAAAGCGTTGATATTTGATGAATTGTTTTACAAATCCATAAAATCAACATACCTTTGTCATATTTTCTGATATCATATTAGATTGGAGAAGTTCACATGATCGATCAATATGATCGATCACATATTTTATATTCTTTTTAATATAAATAATATTAAAACTATATTGATATCTGTGTGGATATCAAAATCCTTTTCTCTTTTTAAAACATCTATTAGTTATGGTTGCTGGAACTTCACCAACCCCTATGCTTTATTTATTTATTTTATTCGTGCTTTTTTATTACTATTATGCCTTATTATTACAATATAACCCCGAAAGATCAGTTTTATGGTAGTTACCTAGTATTAATCTTCAGTAATTATTTATACCACCCTTTTAAATATTAGAGTATTTATGATTGCCTCAACAACCCTAGATATGTCCTTGTCTCTTTGGATAGATTGATACGCCATTGTCTATTTAATATATAAAAACAAATTAATAATTTAATATATTATCTTATATTTCTTAAGATGCTTAACAATATTCTTTGTCTCTATCTGATAATGAACAACCCCATTTTGTCTAGTCAGAAGGTTTGCCACATGTAGAATAGGATCAAAAGTTTGAAATTATGCATGGAATACTGCATTAGACGACCAACTTTAGCACTAATTACAATGTATCTTTCTTTATTTTTCTTGTGGAATGAGAAAGAAAATCTAATTAGTAAGGCTGAATATCATGCATATGAGATGTTGAACATAGAAATAATATTTAAGATATCAATCCACTACTCAAACCAAGATCCAATTTCCATACAACTATAGAATAAAACATGAAATCATGTAAATCCGAATTATTAATGGATAAAAAGTAAACACTTGCTTGTACAAACTCTAAAGTATAGAAAAGTATCACTCTATGTGATTGTTGTAGGAAACATGGTAATTTATTTGCAGAAAAAAAAAACATCCAAATGTAAAAATAACAAATAAAAACAAAAGATCCGAATGGAAGTACTAAATTTTAATTTAGAACCATCTCTGTTTATATTTCGAAATTCCCCTAAAAACATTCTTCAAACAGGGTCAAACTTAGCAAAGGATGTAAAAAAGGTCGGAGCTTAGAAGTGGCCTTGACTAGTTCCTCCCACAAAATTTGGCTCGTTTGTAGCTAGATAGCATAATAAATATAGGAATATTCTCTGAGAGCATTCTCTATGGTAGATTAAATTTTATTTCATGAGGTTTTTCCCAAGGTTTGATCCTATCTTACAAAGGTCATTTTTAAAAAAATTCATATGGTATAGCAACAATAATAAAATAAAGAGAAAAAGCAGTTTTGATTTCATCTTCCTCCATTAACATAATTTGTGATCCATCCATTATGTTGAATGTTGATCCTTCCTGATTTTAGGGATTACATTAACAAAATAAGTAGAAAAATGATAAGAAGAAGAAGAGGAGGAAGAAGCAGAGGAGACTCACAATGAAGCCAGCTGGGTGTGTCATCGCATCAAGAGAAGACCGAGCAAAATGCGAGCTGGATGTGCGGTTTGATTGATCCGCTTGAGTCGCACGTAGGAGGGAGAAGAGGGATCGGAGACGAACCCTCGAATGGTCCTCTTGAGTCACACACAAGAAGGAGAAGAGGGATCAGAGATGAACCCTCGAATGCTCCTCTTGAGTCGCGCGCAGGAAGGAGAAAGCTAGGGATCAGAGACGAATCATGAAGTTTAGTTTCGTGCACATATATTGGGAATTAGGGCTTTAGCGGGATGTTAAATGAGGTATTATTTGCATCGGTTAAAACCGATGCTAATTGCACCGGTTAAAATCGGTGCAAAAAGAGATTTTTAGAAGCGATTCTAAAACTGCTCCTAACAACTGGTGCGAAAAATCTAACTTTCTAGTAGTGTATATATGCTCACTTAGTACATGTCAGTTTCTCAGTGGCAGTTTTAATTTCTTTCTTAATTTTATTCATGACCTTGAATTAATCTTCAAATAGATAAATTTTATTTTCAATTTATGATTCTTTTGTAAGAGTTTGGTACATAATGCTTCATCTGGAATAGTTTTTTTATAGTTTTCATAAGTTTATTTTTAGTATAATTTTTTTTTTAATGATGAAAATATAATGACCAAAAGCTATTCCAAACGAAGCTTAAATGCGTCGCATATATACTGACTCATTTTTTATGAAGTTTAACCCCACGTGCACATATTGTATGTTGATATAATTTCAAATATTAATCATAACTACCAAAAGTTAATTATTTTTTTGGAAATTTTATAAATTTATTTACTTATAAAATTAATGTTCAGTCCGAATTAATATGAACTTATGATTCTATTATTTTAAAGAGAATTTTTTTATTTTTTTTATTTTTTTAAGTTTTTTTTTTTTTGAATCAATAATAACTATTACTCTCAAAATAATCTCCTTCTATATATTATAATATTATAAAGAAATACTGAAAAATATCTTACAAGTTAATAAAATGCTTAAAAAGATTAACTTTAAATTTAAAATTTTTTCATTTGAATATTTTAAATATTAACAAGATTTGTTCTAAAAATAATTATCATTTTCCTATTTTTGCAAGTTTAATTTTCAAATCCATGCATGTGACAGATACATCATTAAATAGTTTTGTTTTTAATAAAACATACATGTGCATATCTTCTATAATGGAAAATTAATAACTGTTAATTATAAATTAATTTAGAAACTTCAGTAAATTTACTTTTCTTTCTAAATAAATTGTTCTAAACGCTCAAATAGAAATTCAATTCATTTCATACTTTCCATTCTCTCTATAATTTTCACATGCATGCATGCATGCCACTCCACACTACTCCATTAA